TTCTTTAAGTATTTTTAGATATTCGTAGTGTTTATATTTGCTTGATTAGAAGAAATTCATTGTAAACATTTATCTTTCATAAACTGTTGTTTGTAATTCCTTGAGGAACCAGTTAGGTCAGAATCCTTAAGAAGACTTAGACAATTAGCCTTTGTGGTTGTTAGTCACCAGCAGTTGCTAGTGCATTTTGTAATCAGTTAATTATATTGGATTAAGTCCTTGAATAAGGAAAAATCACATTGGCGGGTGAACTGGATTAGCTTGATATTTTTCAAGTGAACTAGGATATATCGTGGGTCTTTCTCTCTTGTTTTGTTCTTTGTGATTTCTGTTTGAGTTTCATAAAAAGCTTTCATTTTAAAAACCCAATTCAAACTCCCCTCTTTCTTGTTTTTTTCTTACACCTTCAATTAACATCAGAGTTCCGATTCAGATTGTGATAATAGTTTTATCAACAGTTCACCGTGTTCAGTACTGATCCAGTATTTGTGTGAGACATTGTGGCTATTTCTAATCCTATTCCAAAAGAGAAAGATCACTACAGTGCTAAAACACCAATCTTTGGTGGTGAAAAGTATGATTACTGGAAAGATAGAATTGAAAGTGTCTTTCTTGGCCATGACATAGATCTTTGGGATCTTGTAGTTGATGGTTACACTCACCCAGTTAATGATGCAGGATAAAAAGTGTCAAGAAGTGCTATGACCAATCAACAAAAGAAAGATTACAAGAATCATCATAAGGCAAGAACTATACTGCTGAATGTTATTTCTTATACTGAGTATGAGAAAATAAAAAATAAAGAAACTGACAAGTCCATTTTTGCTTCACTACAAATGACTCATGAAGGAAATGCTCAAGTAAAGGAGACAAAAGTTCCTAATCTATAAATATGAAGCCTTCAAGATGGATGATGGTGAATTTGTAGAAACTATGTTTTTAAGATTTCAGATGCTGGTAGCAGGACTCAGAGTGCTGAACAAAGGATATTCAACTACTGATCATGTCAAGAAGATTATCAGAAGTCTTCCCAAGAAATAGAAACCTATGGTAACTGCTCTAAAGCTATCTAGAGATTTGAATAGTATAAGTCTTGAAGAATTGATTAGTTCTATAAGAAGTCATGAGATAGAGCTGGAGGAAGATGAACCTTAGAAGAAGAATAAATAAATTGCTCTTAAGTCTAAACCTAAAAAGCAAAGGCTTATCAAGCTGAGGAAGAATCAGAAGATTTTGATGAAGACTCAGAAGATGAGTTATCACTTCTCTCTAAAAGGATCAACAAACTATGGAAACATAGGCAAGGAAAATTCAGAGGATCAAGGAAGAACAACGGTAATCAATGTCTGGACAAAAGAAGTAGAGTTCTAGAAAAGAAGTCATCTGCTATGACTGTAATGAGCCAGGTCATTACAAGAATGAATGTTCAAAGCTTAAGAAAGATAAGAAGCCTAAGAAGAACTTCACCAAAGTCAAGAAGGGACTCATGGCAACTTGGGATGATTCTGATTTTGAAGAAGAAGATCCCGATGACGAACAGGCAAATGTTGCATTAATGGCAACAATTAACGCTGAAGTCTTTGGAGAACCAGAAGACAATATGTTATCAGAATCAGAATCAGATTCAGGCTCTAACTCTGAGGTACTATCTAAACTCTCTCGTTGTGAATTAGAGTCATGTCTTTCAGAAATGTTGGGAATATATCAGAATCTTCAAAGTAAATACAAGGATCAATAACAAATCCATGTAATTATTTTTGAACCTAGAGATAAGCTTGAACAAAATAATTCTTCTTTGAATGAAAATATTTTTTCTTTGAAAAATATTAATTGTGCTTTAAAAAGAAAAATCTCTAAACTATAAGAAGAATTAGTCTCTAATATCTCTGATGCTAAATGTGTCAATAAGTATGATAGAACCTTTCAGCACTTTCTGGATAAAAACATAGATAGAAGCAAAATGCCTTCCATGATATATGGAGTTAGCATAAATGGAAGAAAAAAAAAAGGTTTAGGGTGTACAGAAACATCTGAAAATGACAAAAGTCAGCCTGAAAAACCAAAACCTCTATATGATCATTTTTTGCCTTTTAGTACTAAGCTTGATTGTTCTGAGATTGTGAAAGTACCTTCACAGACACATATATCTGATCTTAAACCAAAGTATCATGCACAAATTCGACTTGATTATCATGTTGCACAGAAACTCAAAGTCGTGAAAAACTTTGGGAAAACTAACAAAAGAGGACCCGGAAAGTGGGTACCTAAGGATAAGATAATCTATGTTACAGATATCTTTAACAACCCAATTGAAAAACCAATCATGGTACTTGGACAATGGTTGCTCGTGACACATGACGGGAAGAAGGCATATGTTCCAAAGTTTGGAACTTAAGCCTGGAGGCTTCGTTGCTTTCATAGGAAACCAAAAGGGTAAAATCATTGGTTCTAGAACTATTGGTAATGGTAAACTTCCTTCTATTACTGATGTTCTTCTGGTTGATGGATTGATGCATAACTTATTGTTAATTATTCAACTTAGTGACAATGGTTATGATATCATTTTCAATCAAAAGTCCTGTAAGGCTATTAGTCAAAAGGATGGCTCAATCCTTTTTAATGGAAAGAGGAAAAACAACATTTACAAAATTAGACTTTCTGATCTTAAGAACCAGAATGTCAAATGCTTAATGTCTGTTAATAAGGAGAAATGAGTATGACATAGACGTTTCAGTCATTTTTCCATGAGAAATATTTCTCAACTAAATAAGCTTGGATTAGTCAGAGGCTTACCAAATCTGAAGTATTATTTAGATGCTCTTTGTGATGCATGTCAGAAAGGCAAGTTTTCCAAAACCTCTTTTAGAGCAAAAAATGTTGTTTCTACTTCTGGACCATTAGAACTTTTGCATATTGATCTTTTTAGTCTAGTGAAAACTGCCTCAGTCAATAGTAAGAAATATGGATTAGTCATTGTAGATAACTATAGTCGTTGGACATGGGTAAAATTCTTAAAACACAAGGATGAGTCACATTTTGTGTTCTCTACCTTTTGCTTACAAGTGCATATAGAGAAGGATTTCAAAATAATTAGAGTCAGAAGCGATCATGGTGGAGAATTCGAGAACTGATACTTTGAGAATCTTTTTTATTCCCATGGCTTTTCCCATGATTTCTCTTGTCCTAGAACTCCACAACAGAATGGAGTAGTGGAAAGGAAGAATAGGAAATTGCAAGAAATGGCTCGTACCATGATCCAAGAAACTGACATGGCTAAGCACTTCTGGGCAGAAGCAGTAAACACAACATGTTATATTCAGAACAGGATTTTTATCAGGCTTATTTTGGGTAAGACTCCTTATGAACTATGGAAGAATAGAAAACCCAGCATTTCTTATTTTCATCCTTTTGGTTGTATTTGCTTTATGTTGAACACTAAAGAGAATCTTGGGAAGTTTGATTCCAAAGCTCAAAAGTGTTTATTGTTAGGATACTCTGAATGCTCTAAAGGCTACAGAATTTATAACACAGAAATACAGATTGTTAAGGAATTAATTCATATTAGATTCGATGATAAGCTTGACCCTGAAAAGTCAAAACTAGTTGAAAAGTTTGCAGATTTGAAAATTAGTTTATCATAATCCAAGGAGGAAGATTCTAAAGAAAAAGAAAAGTTGCAGAAACTATAGACTCAGATACACCTTCATCAGAAACAATGACCAGTCCATCTCATCAGAGGAAGAATAGACTAAGGACTTTTCATTCTAAAGAATTGATTTTGGGAGAAAAAGATGATCCAGTCAGAACTCGTTCGTCATTCAAACCTTCTGATGAAACTCTTATGGGTTTGGTGTCACTGATAGAGCCAACATCAGTTGATGAAGCTCTTCTGGAGAACGAGTGGATTCTGGCCATGAAAGAAGAACTAAATCAATTCACTAGAAATGATGTTTAGAATCTTGTTTAGAAACCAACAGGTGAGATCTTAAGAAACAAAGCTCGACTGGTTGCACAAGGCTATAGTCAGTAAGAGAGGATAGACTATACTGAAACCTTTGCACCAATTTCCATGTTAAAATCTATTATATTATTAGTTTCTTTGTTGTTAATCATAACATCATTCTTTATCAGATGGATGTTAAGAGTGCATTCTGAAATGGGTATATTTTTGAAGAAGTGTATGTACATCAACCCCCTGGCTTTGAAAATTCCGAGAAATTAGATTATGTATTTAAACTGAAGAAATCATTATACGGTATGAAACAAGCTCCCAGAGCTTGGTATGACATACTCAATAATTTCCTTTTGGAAAATGATTTTACTAGAGGGAAAGTGGACACTACACTCTTTTGCAAAACTCTTAAGAATGATATTCTGGTTGTGCACATTCATGTAGATGATATTATTTTTGCTTCTGCTAATCCTTCTTTGTGCAAGGAATTTTCTAAGTTAATGCAGGCAGAATTTGAAATGAGTCTAATGAGAGAGCTCAGATTCTTTCTGGGAATTCAAATTGATCAACACTAGTGGAAAAAGGCTTTTTAAATCGGTTAAAAATGATTTTTTAAGTCGGGTCCGAGCCCGACCTAAGACTTACTGACATAAGAAGTTTTGACTTCTTAAGTCGGTTGTGGACCTGACTTAACAAACTATTATTAGGTCGATTAGACAGAACCCGACTTAATAAGTCTAGCCTGAAGAAACCTCTCGGGTCATTTATACCCGACCTAAGAACTTACTTTCTTAAATCGGATATAACTAACTGACCTAAGAAGTTTTTTTTTTGGATAATCACATAAATCAGATGCAGCTTTCCCATTTAACAATTTACCCCTAAATCAGACTATCCAACTCAATCAACAAATTACACCCAAAAAAAAACCACACAACACAAATCACAGTAAAACCCCTAATTATCAAATAAAATAAACCAGCAACTTATAAACACAATTACGTATATTAATAATACTAATACACAAACAAACATGTGCATGTTAATTCTATGCGTAATTCAAGTATTTGTAAAAGTAACAAGTTTGCAATGGGAAATCCATTCTTAGACTTGCATTCACCCTGTCAATATTTTCATCACAAAATTCATTCTGCTTTCTTAAGCTATGGATTTTCATAACACCAGAAAGGGTCTCTGAAAAGTGATGAATCACTGGAGCTTTTGTGATTGAATCAAGACGAGTCAACTCCCTAGATGTTGCAAGATTATATTTCTGCAAACCAGAACAATGTAATAATCAAAATAGGACCAAGTTGCAAGATAACATTACTCTATAGGAGTAGGTATATCATACCCTATGCCAGTTGTAGAGCCAGACCAGTGGAATTACGAGAAAGACAGTCTCCCAAGAGTTCTGGCATGTGACAATGAGGATAGTGAATAATGATAAGTATGCTATCATTACAAAGTTTGTAAACATTGGAATTGTTATATCCACCCAAAGTATATCAGTAGATACCTAAACAATTCATAACAAGAGTAGATAGAATTAGCAAATTCAAACACTAATAAAGCATAAACCAAACATTAAAAGGGATGTTGAATGAAACTCACACGACTCAAGATTCTGCCAGAAGGAGTGGTATCAAAGAATGACATTGGTGCATGAAGGATACTTTGAAGCATTCCAACGAAGAAGCTTTGAGATGTCTTTAAACCCAAATACGTATACATGAAAGTTCTTCCTATAAGAACTATGCATGCAACAACAGCTATAGCAGCATAGACGAAAATGAAAGTAAAAGAAGGAATGCCAGAACCATCAGAAGTTGCAATTGCTAACCAATAGTCACCAGCTAAAAATGACAACAGCCAACCAGCAGACATTGCTACTACAAGGGCTATTCCCCACCATCCGAATGCTTCTTTGAAATATTGTTTTTATACTTTAAGGCTCACATGTCCAGTTTCTCTTCCCTCGTCTTCAATGAGCTTTGTTGTAGTTTTATCATCAAACTTAGATTGATCTTGAGAGGACTGCTTTTCAACCCCGCTTTCTTTTTCTTTCAACACAATGCAGGCGAGTTTTGGAGACTGAGAAGAATCATCATTGGAATTATCACTTGTTTCTAATATCACCATAGAGGATTCATGAGCTGCCACAAGTGCACCAAAATCTAGGTCTGCTTTGGGAAGTTCATCATACTTTCCACTTTGCACTACTCTTCCTTCACGCATCACCTTTAAAGTTGATGTCAAAATATAAGCTAAAATATAATATCTAATACTATTGGTAAGTGTTGCACCCCAAAATTTGCTCAACCTTTTCTTGCCTGATTTATGTTTCATTGCATTTCATTTGCATAGTTACATCATATACACAGTCTAATCATTTGCATATCATAGCATTGCATGCCTCCAACAAGGGGTCAAGGTGTATATCAAAATAAGAGCTTAGCAAGGTGTGTTATCCAAGAGGAGAAGTCTTCCAGGCCATCAAGAAGTGATTTGAAGTCTTGAGAAGTTTGAGTGCCCACAGGTGGATTTCTCTCCTAACTTGAGGTGTATTGAAGATCATCAACATGGAATTTTGAATAGAAGATGTGTATAGAGATCATGGAGTGCCTAGATGGCCATGTTGGAGATTAATCAAGTCATTGATTCAAGTGCAAGAGCCATGGTTGAGGTGTGTACAAGTAGGGTTTCATCTGGGTAACCCTAGGTCAAGGGGAGTAAAGAAGGGGCATCAAGACCTAGATCTAGGGCATGGAAGTCATGGATTGATATGTTGAAGTATGTGTATGGATGAGCCAAGATCAAGTTCAAGAGAATCAAGAGTGATTGGAGGTGTTTGAGACAGGGTTCCTAGGGTAAAATCCCCTATATAGCACTGGACATCCAAGCCACATAAGTCAAAAAGCAAGTTTCAAATGGTTCTTTGGCCAACATGAAACTTGTAGAGCTTCTCAATACCTTTAATTTGAATACTAGAAGTCTTCAAGAAGGTTTATAGAACTCAAGTTATGGTTCTTGCAAGTTACAAGTCACCAGAGGACACTGAAATTTATCTGTGAAAGTCACTTGACTTCCAAGCAACTTTTGCCCCTCAAGGAGTTTTCAAATGGATTCTTGGCCAACATAAGAGTTGTAGGTTTTGATCTTAGATTTAATTTGAGTACTAGAAGTCCTCAAGGGGATTTGTGGAACTCAAGATATGATCTTGGCAATCCAGGGGTATTTTGGGAAAGTTGAATTATAGGTCCTTTTTTCAACATAGGTCAAAATCTCTATCTTCCACTCCTCAAATGAAAAAATGTTCAACATGAGATGTGCTTAGAATGGTGTTTCTAGGTCAGATATGAAGTCATGGTGAGTTGGATTGGCTTATTTCACAATGTGCTCCAAAATGGCCTAAAAAGGGAGATTTTTCAAATGATTCAAGAAAGGAAAAAATGATTTTTTGACTTGCAAAGCATAAACATGGCATATGGGTAGTCATTTTGAATGGAAATTGGATTTCAAACACATTGGAAATGTCACAATTTTGAGATGAGCCATTATTTTATGAGTTGCTTTGAAAAGTGCTTTCTTACATCACAAGTAATATTTGCAAAACACTCCTTTAGATCAGAACCAATGCTCTAACCCTTACCAATCAATTCAACATGTCATTTGGAGAGAAATTGGATCAAAACCAAGCTGCTAAAGCAAGCTAAAACCAACTGTCATGTGCAAGCTTCTCATGAAATTTTCAAGTGCAAGAGAAATTGAATTTCTCACATGGATCATTCCAGAACTTTCTGGATCATTCTAACACATTCTATATAACCCTCATAAATAATTTAGTTAGTTTTTTGGCCAAGAACTCTGAAGAATTGAGAGAGAGCAAAGTGAGTTTCTTCATTGCAAATCAAAATCGTGTTTGGTGATTGGGAGGGATTCAAAGCAATTCATTGCATACAGAAGATCCACAAGGCATCATTGATCGTGTCTGGAGAAGATTGAAGGGTGATTTGAAGGATTTCTTGCTCTGTTCACTCAATTTTTACAGGTACGTAAATTTCATCTCATGGCATGATTTAGGTAGAATTGATAGGATTTAGATGTGTAAATAGGTTGTAGACATGGCTAGAATCGTTTCTGGTAGGAAAAATTGGTGATTAGAGGCAAAACCTAGGGTGACACCATTTCTGTTGAAGGTTGTTTCTCTTGGTTCTTGGGGGTTTAAACATGTTTAGATGGTGATAACTACTCAGTGAAGTGTGTAGATGATGATAGGCTGATCAATTTTGAGAATGGTGATGATTGAATTTGGAGCATATTTTGAGTTGGGAATCGTGTTTTGAGTTGTGGTGAGATTCAATGAGAATGGAGGTTACCATTGGATTCAGTGGAAAAAACGAGCAAGATGATGTACTCATGTGTAGATTTTGGTGAAGTTTCATGGTGTTGGCATTTGGGGACAACGGTGGCGCCACCTCCGGCCACCGTCTGGTTCATTTCCCTCCCAGAATTTAAAAAGGAAGAAGATAACTCTCTTGCCATAGGATTAGGGAAGACCTTTGACTGAAATAACCATCCCATGGCCACGATTCATTCTCAGCTTGTGAAGAAGTCTGAACATAAGCAAAACGCACTGTTTCACTTATGTTTTGTTTTGGGCTTAAGACAACCTTGCTATCCACACACCACCTTAGGCCCACATAAGGATTTACAAAGGAATTGTTTGCTATTTGACACAGAGTTTTTCCAATTTTCGTTATATTTTTTCTGGTTTATTTTCATTTGGTTTGGGCTTAGCGCGCATATGCTAGTTGTAACACCCCACTTCCCAAAATCATCTAAATTAATAAACATTATAAATAAACAAAATCAGAGTTCCAATTCTCCCAAGTGGGATATCACATAAAAACAACGTTTCCTTATAAAAAGGTTTTTCTCCAAATACAGCGGAATGTTAAATAATAAAATTCAATAAAAGTTTGATACGTTCACAGGGAAATAAAATATAAGTTCAACATAAAACAAATAAAAATGCCCAAGTCTCGTGCTACGTATCAGAGCATCCTAGACTCGACAATCACACCAATATCCAAGCTAGCTAAGCACCTGGATTATCTGTACTTCCGAAGAAGCACAGACCACAACAACAACAAAGGGGTGAGAAAACATGATCAAAAATATAATGGTAATGTAATACATGTAAACAAGGTAGTACAACACACCAACACACCAATATTCACCCCAACAACACAATATAACGAACCTACTGTTCAAATTACAATATAACGTATTATAATGCATTTATGCAACTCACACCATGCATGCGGTACCGACTCATTGGTTCATTCAATCGAACCCACCATTCTCCACAAAGGAGTACGGGTGAATCACTTACGCTCCATCCGAGACATGATTCAACCCCACCATTCTCCACAAAGGAGTACGGGTGAATCACTTACGCTCCATCCGAGACATGATTCAACCCCACCATTCTCCACAAAGGAGTACGGACAGATCACTTACGCTCCATCCGAGACATGATCCATCCCACCAAGACACCATGATATGCACACACCAATGCATAACTATTATGTTCAGGCACACTAGGTGCACACGATCCACCTGATCGTATCATTATACATCACATATATATGCATAGATATAACATGCACCAACACCATATAAATCAACCAGATAGTAAGCAAGTTCATATTCTATCACCAAGATACAAACACATCCCACTACTCGGGGATACACGATCCTACTGATCGCTACATACATATACATCAACTAATTGTCCACTAGTCATTATTACGGGAAACATGCACTATCACCAAGTACATAAGTTAGTTCCCACACTCATCATTCTTACAGTGCATCAAGGCTAAAGGGATCACACAAGCCCAAGCTCAAGGCTAAAACATCACAAAATCACATTCTGGTTCTGCTACGTTCGCTGGCATTCGCCAGGCGAAGCCCCGTAGCGAACCTTCGCTAGCATTCGCCAGGCGAACCTGCTGGCGAAGCCCTCATTTCACTATCGTGCACTCGCCAGGCGAACCTTCATTCGCTAGGCGAACCTTCATTCGCCAGGCGAACCTTCGCTGGTCACACTCGCCAGGCGAAGTTCCTACCCTTTAGGTCTGGGACTTAATTCTGAATTATTCGCTGCCACTCGCCTCAGCTCGCCAGGCGAACTCTCGCCTCCCTTCGCCAACACTCGACAGGAGAAGCCCAGCGAATGCTGCGATCTCACCAATTTCTCACAGTTCTGCAGTGCTATTCTAGGCCAAATTATGCCTATCATCTCAACTCAGATTCTCAGTCTATTCTAGTACCAATCTTGCACATTACCGTAACCAATAGGTTTCTAATTCCTATTCCCAAAATCATCACCTACACACTTTATCGATACCTCAAAAGCCATACAGAATTTTCCCTAAACCGTAAAACACCCTATGTGCCCTATAGGCCAAATCAACCCAAAACACCAATTCATCAACGATTACTATATAATTAACAACAATCATCATCAATCATAACATAACAATATATATTATCATATATCGATCAATTTCCTACGGGGTTAAGGAATCCCCAACTACCCTATACATGTATAAACCATTCCCAATCAAGTTTCTCCCCCCTTACCTTGTTAATCGGTTGATCGATGAAAGAACCCTCCAAGGTTTGGCCAATTCTGATTTTCCCCTGTTCCTTCGTTCTTCGCTCCCTTTTCCGTTCTTCTCACTTCTCTCCTTTCTATCGTCCTTTTTTCCACTTTCTCTAACTGCTCACAATGTATCGTAAACTACTAACTCCTCCCATTCTCTATCTTAATTCTCTAATCCCAATAATAATAATAATTTAATAATAATAATAAT